ATGAACAGCGGAACGTTAGATGCATTCTTTATCACCATCATCATCATGTTATAGTGATACAGTTAGTTTGTGTTAGTTTATTTGTTCAATACAGCATATATCGAGCACATTCGTATAGCATTGATGTTGAAGTAGGCTACTTAGGCTACGCCACTTTCGGGTCCCGGGTACCAACTTTTCTTGTAAACACAACCAAAGCTCAGGGTTTGCAGCTTGCTTGATTAACAATGATTGTAATACTTCATCTGACCACCAAGGATCAGTATAGCCTGTCACTAATCTCTTGTAATCTATTGTCTGATCCCTGTGAGAGTGGAGGCCCAGAAATGGCGCATTTCCACCATGGCGCGGAGCGCGGTTTAAGCGTGCCGTGTCGTGCCGGGCTCGTTTTTGGTTGCGTTTCCACTATGCCTAGTTCCGGCCCGGGGCTACTTTTTCACCTTTTTTCTGGCCCGACAAAATCGTGGTTCTATCGGAGCCAACAACCAGGCTGAGTCGGGCTGAGTTTGCTAAACTAGAGAGATAATCGCTGGCAAGGGGGCTACAACTACAACAAGATGAACATATTTGACCGTGATTTATTTGTAATACACGTTTCAAAATGATGCCGAAGTAACAACATACTGATACCGGTTAGTAAAAACCATGAATGAATGCTTTGACAAGTCTGCAGACAGACGGCAGGCGAAAAAACCTTTTAAAATGGGTGTTGTCTAAATGGAGATCGGCTAAGCTAACGCAATATATGCTCCGACCGTCCACACTCACAACAACGGCCTACAGACATAAATAAACCAGCGACTGTACTCGCCATGACACAGGCAGTCTGTGGTTTGTACTTGTTTCACTTTTGTCTAGTTTCTGAACAGATATGAGGAGCTGTGAGCTCTGAGTGCTAACAGCTAACGGCTGATGTTGTTTTTCTGGGGTGCTCATTGAAGATGACGTCACGGCTCCGCCTACACTGCGTTACTATAGATACTACCCCAGTTCCTAAACTGTAATGGAAGCGCAGCATTAAAGTGAGCCGGGCCTAACAAGGCCTAACAAAACCGTACTAAGTCGAGCGAGGCCTGCGGTGGAAATGCGCCATTATAAAGGCCATGCCTCTTTTGCTCCGTGCCATCTGGACTACAACTCTCACTAAGCCTGGTGCTGTTTGCGATGATATCAGAACAGAAAAAATAAAGTATTTGGGAATCAGCTTTAGCTTTCCTGTTGTATTGTGTGATGATGACAAGTGACCCCAAGCGGATAAAGATGGTGTTACTAATTGAAGTTGTTAGTAAGTCACTATATTACATAATTGTACAATATTGACCACATCTAAGTTGTTACCCTGCAAACCTGTGCTGCAAGATGCATACTTAGTTACTCTTGCCAGGGTATGGCTAATGAGAACTATATTGCCACAAGGATGAGGCTTCTTCAGTTGAGCTAGGTTATTTCGGGGCAAAAAACAACAACCATTTGTCTGAAATGAGGCCAGAGAAAATAAAGGATATGGAGTGTGCTGTGACGTAAATTGTTCAATGTTTTTTCAGAGAAATGGGGAGATTTTATAGGCAATGCTTGGACAGAGAAGGGGATGGTGCCTTCGAGAGTTGAAAAGAAAGAATGGTTGGTAGAGGATGAGAGAGATTTGCCTCCATGAATTTTGGGATGAAAGATAGGCTCGTGTGTAGTGTGTGTGTAGTGTGTGTGTGTGTGTGTGTGTGTGTGTGTGTGTGTGTGTGTGTGTGTGTGTGTGTGTGTGTGTGTGTGTGTGTGTGTGTGTGTGTGTGTGTGTGTGTGTGTGTGTCAGTGTATGTCTGTTAGAGAGAGAGTAAGTGAATGCCAAAGAGAGAAAGCCTGGGTGTGTTGAGATAAGCGTGGGTCGTTGGGAGGTTGTTGTTTTCCGGGCACACTATGTTTGTGTGTGTGCTTGTTGTCTTTATGTGTGCACAGAACGGTTGTTACTAGTTGTTGAGTAATGATTTGGGAGTGTACACAGTTTTTGTCAGCCCTAACTGGCGCCACTCTCTATAAGCATCTCCCCTCCTCTCTCTTTCCCAGTCTGCTGCTCTTTTTTCCCCCAGAATTTCTTTTATCAGAAATGAATGTTCAAGTGAGAAGTTTCTCCACTCTTGTTTCTTATTTCAGTATGTGGGCAAAACTGTATCTTATCTTATTCATGTTGAGAATAAACGTGTTATGATGTCTTCCTGCCATGTAATCACATTTTGGTCCACCACAGAAAAGCCATACAATAAAATGCTTAATTTGTTTTTCTGTGATGGCGTATGCAAGAACTATGTGGATTTGACCATCTGTTGATTAGTGGAAGTGAAGTCAGGAATCTCTTTCTCTCTGGACAGTAAATTAAATCCTTTGAATTGGCAAGTACATTTACCACACAACAATGTTCAACAAATTGCAAGTATACTATAATTTAACTCATAAAATGTCAAAACAACCTGTAACATTTAACCAGAAGTACCTCCAACAGATGAGTAAAAAGAAGAAATATATATATATTTTTGTACTGCACATATTGTTGCATTATATTTGAATACAAATGTTTCCAATAATAATACCAGTGCAATCTCATCCACAGCATGGTGAACAAATCTGTCACAAGGTCCGAGACCCCAAAGTGATTTCTTGATTTAGTTAAAAAAATTGAAGAAGTTCATTATTAACTTATAGAAACAAACACTTTGGTCCAATATGTCAGCCCAGATTTACAATGAAATATGATTAATTTATGACTTCTAAAGCAAACAAATGATGGAATCCTGCAAACATAGTGTTGATGATTATCTTGTCTTTTATTTATTTGAATAGTAATCAAATCCACTTTTTCTCGGCTCTATTCTCTACTCTTTCTGCTCGAGTAAACCTGTTCATTGATATTCTTTGACATATCCTTGTCGTCTGTGCTTTGTTTTTTTTTTCCCTCAAAAGGACAATTGTCTTGTGGTTTTGTTGATACTAAATCAGCCCCAGCCTGCTGTGTGCCGACTCACAGCCCCAACTTCTGAAAGGGCTGGTTGGATTATCAGGAAGTTTTCCGGACTTTTATTTTCGCAGTTGAAACTCTGTTATAGAGGTGACCCCCACCGAGTCACACAAACACTCCCTCACAGACTGTTTACCATCACAATGCTGACACTGGCACTTTCCCTCGCTGTCAGGAGGACTCATATTTATGTATTTTCATTGTAATTACATGGCAGTGTTTTTTTATTTGCAAAATGCCCTTGTTTTCCCCCACTGGCGCGACCACAGATCAAATGGAGCTTCTGCCAACGCTTTGCTTCCCAGAGTGAGAATTCCCAGAGCCAGTGAGAATAAAACCCACCAGTAAACAAAAGATAAAACACCGAAGTGAAAGCTGGAGAGGGAGCAAAATCAACACAATGAGAGGGGTTGTGTGTGTCTTGTCTCCTGTTGGCTGGTGTTGGAATTTGTTGATTAGTGGGAATGTGTATGGAGGTTTGTGTCTGCAAGTGTCTCTCAACATCTCTGTGTTTTCTCAGTTTAGTAGCTTTAAAACACCCAGCTGTTTTAAAGCTGGGTGACTTGTCTAGTTATCATCTCTTATAGAAAATAATTTCTGGAACAGTTTTGGCATTTGTTGGGAAGCTGATATTCTCATATTGCTCAACAAAATATTACATAATGATAATAATAATATTTTTCATATTTGCAAGAATTCCCATGAAAAAAACAATAAGCATTGGTCTTATACTGAGGAGCTTTTTGTCTGTGCATCAGAGCTTCCTCTTTGTGCAAAAACACAGCATCACCTAACAGGAGTGACATGGCCTCATTACTATGGTCACAGGCACTTAGTTTATTTTAGCCTTAGTAAATACCAACACCCTGAATCCACAGCAGGAAATAGTCCCTAACAAATACACAATTTACTCCTACTTGAGTAAATTACACGGCTAACAGCTGTTTTATCTATTTTAGCTTAACTTTTTAAAGACCTTACCTTAGAACAAATGGGTGTAGGGTTATGCCACAGACATGAGGTCAAAAGGTAATCAGAAACAGACTCACCTATTTTGTTTAAGGACTTTATATGGGATTTTTTAAATCTAGAACAGGGGTGTCCAAACCTTTTTCACCGAGGGCCACATACAGAAACATATATGAAGGGCTGGGCCGTTCACTAGAGGTATATTGCCTCATAAGTTCAGTTATAAATTAGGAAAATCAGTCAAATGTAGGTAAATGATGCTTGTGACTGTTGGCAGCTCATCCCTTAAAACAGAAGCCTCAGATTGATTATAATAAGGAGAAATAGGAAGGGTGTATTTCAAGCTTGTTATGTAAACAAGTCATTGGGCTTTTTTCTTATCAACTAAGATATGTTACTTAGAACATTTTTACAACTTTAATTGACTGAATTTATTTGAAAAGTGGTCTTATTAACACATGAATACTAATACAACTATACCATATTGTGAATTTTCCCCAATAATGACGTTTGTTAAAGGCACACACTGGTAAGTTAATGTTAATGTTTAAACAGTGTGGCCTAGGCTCCTCTATGTTCTTCGATTCATTCTGTTTTAAACAGTGGCGAGCCGTCAGGGCCCTCTAGGCCCTCTGTGAGGGCCTAAGATATTCCAAAAAAAAATATTTAAAAACATTAAAAAGAAATATATTTTTTTAAAATATATATTTTTTTAATATTATTTTTGTTATATTTTTCATTAGTTTTACCGAAAAAAAACTTGATTTAATAAAATAACATTTCCAAATAAATAAATCCTTCGAATCTGCCCGTTCAGTCTGCGTCTATCGTTTTTCCAACCCAGTTTAGATCCCACTTCCGCATTACGCAAGCATCGACGCGGCGTTACGTCACAGCATCACACATCCCTATGGTTACATCACTGCCTCACGCGACACACCCGCGAAATCTGAATCTGACAAGCGAAATACCGTCCTTTTAAACGCCGCATAATATACAATATACAATATAATAGTGCTTCTTTGTCAATATGACTGACGACCACACTTATGCAGTGCTGAGGTAATGTTAATTCATCATTTAATATTAATTCCTGATGGATATAAGAGGGATACATTAGCAAACATCTGTATATATAGCCTATATATATATATATAATGTTTCGTTTTTTTGTTTGTCATCTAACATATTAACGTTTTGACCGTTAATTCATCATTTAATATTAATTCCTGATGGATATAAGAGGGATACATTAGCAAACATCTGTATATATAGCCTATATATATATATATAATGTTTCGTTTTTTTGTTTGTCATCTAACATATTAACGTTTTGACCTTCTGTTTAGGATGTAAAGGTATCTATTTAATGTTTTATTTAAAGGTAGACATTTATAATATGTTATAAATGTCTATTTTGTTATATAATACAACATATAACATTTTGCCATGTAAAAATGAAATGTTGGGACATTTATAAAAATGTATTCCTTTACATAAAAGTGCTTTCCAGAGGTGTAAGAAGTGATAAGATCTTGTACTTGAGTAAAAGTACAAGTACCAGAGTGTAGAAATACTCAAGTATAAGTACTAAAGTATTAGCATCAGAATAGTACCTGAATAACTATAAGCTGTTTTTTTTGCTTTCATTTCAGACCTCGTGTTTTAGTGTGCTCTGGAGGCACACAGAACAATATAGAGGAGTACCCGCAGTTGAAGGTATCTGATAATAAGACCTATCTCTCAATACTATGATGAACATCAAATTACATTGAATGTGTTTGCTCATATCAATGCCTCACCTACACATCATCATCATCATCATCTAAACTATACCACTTAATAACAGACTTATTGTCCAGATAAAAGACAAGGCATTACAAAGTATAACATGCAAACACATGAAGTACATTTAAAGAGAATATAAACATGTTAGCATAACTATACCAATGTTTTAGGATTTTGAGGGTTGGATTTTTATTTTTCAGACTTTTTAAGCCTGCAAGTATAATGTGTATTCTACTCTAGTTCTAAGTAAAGTCAGTACATTTTAAACCTCATGGTCCTCTTTAGTTCTTCAGATCATGGCAAAACTCTTACTGGTATTCTGAGCTGACACAGTATTATGTGTGTGGATTTGAATGAATAGTTGTCTGTTTCCTTGTAGGGTTGGCTACCAGGTGAGTTCAGATACCACGTGTGCCAGTATGAAGAGGTGGTTTCACTGGGGGACCACACTGGTTTTGAGGCCACTTTGAGGCTGGATGTCCACACTGTGGAACAGGTCAAGGAGTGGGTACAAAAGCTGAAGGGGTCATCAGGGGTGACATGGAGGGTGGATGTTACCCGACCCAGGTTGGGGAAGCGGGTGCTTTTCAAAGTAAGTGTTGTCTTGTTGATATTTCTTGAAGTTACCTTTTAATTATCCTTTTTACTTTGACCTGTACTATAATAAATCTGCTTTATTTTGTTCAGGCAAGTTATAAGTGTCAGCATAGGGTGAACCCGAGAGCAGCCAAAAGCAGCAAGAACACCTGCTGTCAAGCAAAAATGCACACGACACTCAAGAGTACTCGTGGGGAAATTAAGTGAGTTTACTGATCCACATACTTATTATTTCACGTTTTGCTTTTTTTACATAATATTGATATATATATTGATTTATGTTATAGGACCGAAGACCCACACATGCCTGACCTACCATTTAAGGTTATTCTAATAAACAGGCACAACCACAATCTTTTTGTTGCGGACGCCATCCGCCACCGAGATGTTGGGTTAAAGGCAAACAACATACTCACAGGGCTCTTTGAAATTGGCCACACTCCAACATCTGCACTGTCGGTCCTGAAACACGACCTCCAAATGGAGTATGGGCAGCGTTATGTGTACGTGTCGGCCAACAGGGAGATTTGCCCCGACCTGCCTTATGTACAGAGGTGGGTATCACATCTGGAAACATGGTCAAGATACCTACTACCCACTATATAAATAACGATGCAATAAAAACTATGATGTATTCAGTGAATACAAATACGCTTTTCTACTGCATGTAAGTGACACCCATACCAACTAATTCATTTTCTACCCAGACTGTTCCACAAGGTGTGTAGGGAGGAGTATGGCACGCAAACAGGTCCCACGATGTTGGCAGCGCTCAAGCTTCAAGTGGAGAGTTACAACAATAAGTGTAATGACACCTGTGCTCTCCTGGGAACAACTTCCCAGGGAGCTCCTCTTGTGGTTGTGTGTTCTCCACTCATGAAGAAAGTGCACCAACTGAAGCACAGTGGGGAGCTGTGCTTCATAGATTCCTCAGGGAATATGGACAGGGAAAACTGCAGGGTATTCCTCCTCCTGACCCACAGCTGTGCAGGTGGCCTCCCTCTGGGCATTCTCCTCTGCCAGTCTGAGGATGAGCAGACTATTGCTCAAGGGCTGGAACAGCTCAAACAAGTTGTTGGAGAGAAGGGCTTTGCTGGCAGAGGACACGAAGGGCCACAACTGGTCATCACAGATGACTGTAGGACAGAGAGGGGAGCTCTGGGAAAAGCATTTCCTAAGGCCACACTTCTCCTGTGCTCCTTCCATCTGCTACAAGCAGTTTGGAGGTGGCTGTGGAGCAAGGAGAGTGGGGTCACTCACGGAGACAGACCGGCACTTTTTGCCATTGTAAAAGAGATGCTTTACTGTCAGGAGATAGGCAGTGTGGATAGGCTTTACAGCGAGGCAAGAGGGCATCCAGTTGTAGCCAGGTTAGTGTTTAATTTTGCTGACGAAGACGCAGTGGGAATACCGTGAGTGTAGCATCATGTGTTTTACCGAGACTTGGTTGCACTCGCTCATCCCGGATAATAACACGGCTCTCCCCGGCTTCACGAGTGTTCGGGCGGACAGGGACGTTATTCTGAGCGGTAAAAAGAAAGGAGGAGGGATTGCACTGTATGTGAACGAACGATGGTGTAATCCTGGACATGTTACTGTGAAGGAGCGTTTCTGTAGCCCGGACATTGAACTGCTAGCTGTGGGATTACGTCCATTTTATCTACCTAGAGAACTTTATTCTGTCATCGTAGTTGCTGTCTATATTCCACCGAACGCGGACGCGGAGGTGGCTGGTGACGTCATTCACTCCTCTGTGGCCAAACTCCAAACTCTTCACCCAAATGCATTCATAACAATAACTGGGGATTTTAACCGTGCAAAACTGGACAAATCTCTGCCTACATTCACTCAGTATGTGAAATGCCCCACCAGGGGAAATAATACTATGGATCTTCTATATGCAAATACCAAGAACGCATATTGTGCCACTGCCCTCCCCCCCCTGGGCAGATCTGACCACAACCTCGTCTTTTTGGCTCCTAAATATGTCCCTCTGGTGCAGAGGCAGCCTGTATCCACCAGGACTGTGAGGAAATGGACTCCAGGGGCTAATGAGGCTCTACAGGACTGCTTCGAGACCACTGACTGGGACGTGCTTTGTGTGCCACATGGAGAGGACATCAATAATATGACTGACTGCATCACAGAATACATCAACTTCTGTGAACAAACAATATTACCGGCTAAAACTGTCAACTGTTTCCCCAATAATAAACCCTGGATTACTAGTGACCTGAAAACTCTTTTAAATAAGAAAAAGGAAGCTTTTAAGTCTGGGGACAAATCAATGCTGAAGAGTATCCAGCATCAACTGAGAGACAATTTGAGGAGGGGCAGAGATTCGTACAGGAAGAAGCTGGAGACTAAGCTCCAGCAGAACAATAGCAGGGATGTCTGGGCTGGGATGAAGGCTATCACTGGCTTCAAAGGGAGAGACAGACTGACTGTGGGCACCCTGGAGAGGGCCAACGAGCTGAACACCTTCTTCAATAGGTTTAGCTCTCCGCCCGCTGCTGTCTCCTCCACTTCCTCTTCTCACCTCACCTCCTCCTCTCAGCCTGGCGTCAACATCCCCCCTCTGCTCACCACCTACACTTCACACCTCTCCTCCACCACCCAGCCTGTCTTCTGCACCCCCCCTCTGCTCACATTGCCGCTGACCCCCCCCCCCCCCCTCTGCTCATCTTGCCTCAGACCCCCCCCCCTCTATCCCCCCTGCCATCAAGCCCCCCCCCCCCGCTTCACTGTGAGCACAGGACAGGTCCAGAGTCAGATGGAAAAACTCCACCAAGGCAAGGCTGCTGGCCCTGATGGTATCAGCCCCAGGGTCCTGAGGACCTGTGCACGCCAGCTGGCTCCTGTTCTCCAGTATATATTCAACCTGAGCCTGCACTTGGAGACCATCCCGGTGCTGTGGAAGACATCATGCGTTGTTCCGGTCCCTAAAAAGACAACTCCTTCTGGGCTCAATGACTATCGCCCTGTAGCACTCACATCTCATGTGATGAAGGTGCTTGAGAGACTGGTCTTGGCCCATCTCAGACCGCAGGTGAGATCATTCCTTGACCCTCTGCAATTTGCCTACCAGCCTCACCTGGGGGTGGACGATGCCATTATTTACCTGCTGCAGCGTGCTCACTCATACCTGAATGGATCGGGTTGCACTGTGAGAATCACCTTTTTTGATTTCTCCAGTGCATTCAACACGATCCAGCCTCGGCTACTGAGTGACAAGCTGCAGGCTATGAGGGTAAACTCGTCCACCATCTCCTGGATTACCAACTACCTCACGGACAGACCACAGTACGTCCGGCTGGGCAGTGTGCTGTCTGATGTGGTGGTTGGTAGTATTGGAGCCCCACAGGGGACTGTGCTGTCTCCTTTCCTGTTCACCTTATACACCTCTGACTTTCTATACAACTCAGAGTCATGCCACCTGCAGAAGTTTTCGGATGACTCTGCAGTGGTAGGGTGTATAAGGGATGGACGGGAGGAGGAGTACAGAGCGCTGGTGGGTGATTTTGTTGAGTGGACTGGAAGAAATCATCTGCTTTTGAATGTGGCCAAGACCAGAGAGATGGTCATTGATTTCAGGAGGAAGAGGACATCTCCTCCTCTGCCCCTGTGCATTCTGGGAGAGGATGTGGCAGTTGTGGAGGTCTACAAGTACCTGGGAGTGCACTTAGACAATGGGCTGAACTGGAGGATCAACACTGACGCTGTGTACAAGAAGGGGATGAGCAGACTCTATTTTCTGAGGAAGCTGAGATCCTTCAACGTATGCAGTAAGATGCTGGAGATCTTCTATCAGTCTGTTGTGGCTAGTGCACTCTTCTTTGCTGCGGTCTGCTGGGGGGGCAGCATCAGAGCCGGTGACACCAGCAGGATCAATAAACTGATCAGGAAAGCTGGGTCAGTCATCGGCATCAAGCTGGAACCCTTTGAAGCTGTGGTGGAGAGGAGGACACTGAACAGGCTGTTGTCCATCATGGATAACCCCACCCATCCTCTCCACCTGCAGCTGGACAGTCAACGGAGCTCCTTCTCCAACAGAATGCTGCAGCTCCCCTGTCTCAAGGACAGATACTGGAAAACATTCCTGCCCACTGCAATAACACTGTACAACAAATCACCTCTGGCTGGAAGAGAACTCTCTGCTCCATAGTTTCTCTAGAAATAAAACCACCTTGTACATTTTACTCACACATAATCTGTTTCATATTTAATACTCCATAATTCCATATATTTTGAATATATATATATTTGTATATATATATATATATATATATAATATCTGTATGTATATTTTCTATTTTGTATTTTGACATGTATATTTTATATTTTATTTTATATTTTATTTTATTTTATTTCTATTCTTGTATATTTTGTTTTATTGTAAAATGCCTTTTATGCTGCTGTAACAAAAACAATTTCCCAATTTGGGATCAATAAAGTACGATCTATCTATCTATCTATCTAATGCAGACAAGTTAGTGATGTTTTGTTTAGCCATATGAGAGAAATGGACTTATTCTTATCAAATAACATCTAACACCCAATGTAATGAAGTGATTAAGCTTTACTGTTTGGATAATTTTTTCTTTTTTTAACCAATTGCAGGTATGAAAAGTTCCTCAGGTACTTGGACCGACTGTACGCCAGAAGAGAGTGTTCCTCACCAGAGGAAACAATACCAACAATTTTGCAGAAGCGGCAATGCGTGTCCTCAAGGACAAAATACTGCAGAGGACAAAGGCCTTCAACCTTCCTCAGCTGTTTGATCTGCTGACCTCGAGGCTGGAGACCTATTATGAGGCACGCATTGTTGATGTTGCCCTTGGACGCTGGGAATCATTCCAGCGAGCAAAATTCCTCCCCCAAGATGGCAACATTGCAGCATTGCATATTCAGCAGGTAATGGATATAACAGCTGAAAAAACATAATATGCTATAGGTTTATCACTACAGAATCAATACGCACATATGTCACTTGTGTAACAAATACATTTATCCTTGTTTGACTTGTGATTTTGCAGATTGAGGACAAGAAGTTTGTGGTGAAGGGATCTACACAAACTTATGATGTAGACATGGATTTGGAGCTGTGTTCTTGCCCTGCAGAACAAACAGGAGCGCCTTGCAAACACCAGGCAGCAGTGATGAAACATTACAGCTGTTTGTCACACTCCTTTCTACCAATAAATCCAGAGATGAGAGCAGAGCTGATGAAACTGACATCGGCAGGTAAAGTCAATATTTTAACAATAACTGGTGTAATGAGACTGCCAACATTTCATGTTTTGATTACAAGATAAAGGATATACACTGTTTAGTTTTTAATTAATGTTGATCCCTTAATGTTTTATAGAAACCATCTCTTTGGATTTCCTCCAACCCCTCAGACTTGAAAGGCAATCATGTCAGTCGTTTAGAAGTAAGTAATACACAAAACTTACATTAATAATGGTGTAATTATATAAAATAATTGAAACTTTAAATCAAATAACAAAGTAGTTCTATATTACCCATGTCCATCACTAATACCATGTGGGACACACATAATTGATGTATCTCTTGGTATCTGTAGGCGCTCATGAACCAAGCACTACGCATCAGGAGCAACAAGATGAAGGTTTGTTATGAACATTTCAACTGAACAACACAAGCACACACACACACACACACACACACACACACACACACACACACACACACACACACACACACACACACACACACACACACACACACACACACACACACACACACACACACAATATATATATATATTTATCTAGACTTTTCTTTCCCCTTGGACCATAACATCAGAAAAGAGGCACTGAAATAGTTAATACAAATTAACTGAATACTATCATATGCTACTCTTCACAGGTGTATTGACAGCACAAGTCCAGCCCTCCAGAAGTGTCACTGGTGATAGGCCACAAGAAGGTGAGTTGTGAGTGTGCAGGTTTATGTTCACACATCATTTTGGTGCTTAATAGATTGATGAATTAATAAATTGTTACTATATGTATAATATCAACTTAAAAAATAAACCTTTAATTTAAATATTTTTCCCTCTTAGATATCGCATCAGATGACGTCTCTCTTGTGGATAACATGATGGAGGAAATGAAAAGTCGTTGCCAGGATCCACATTTCACTGCTGGGCTACTGGCAATGGCTAAGCAGTACAATGTCCTGAGAAGCAACCCCTCCAAACTGCTGTCAGCCTTCCATTCCTTTGGGAAATCTGGCAGCCTGACCAGCAAAAGGGCCGCCATTTTAAGGCGGGCTTCCAGACGTCAAGGCCCGATGATTGGCTGCCAGCCTACAGCTGTTGCACGCAGGAAGTCAGGCGCTGGCTCAAGACGGCGTTTATTTTCTGGGCGCCCTGTGAAACAGCACAGTTT